GGTTCTCCTGCAGTTTCAGGAACAGCCGGGCCGGGCTGCCCTCCTCCTCCCCCGCCCCCCCCCGGCCGGCCGCCCGGTCGCCGTCCGACTCGCAGCAGTCAGAGATGCCGGAGTCCTCCCCCCTCTCCGGGGAGAGGGGCTCGGCTTTGGGCCAGCGGGCGCTGCGGGTCTGCTCCACCGAGAAAACCACGTCCGGCTGCTCCACCGCGCTGAGGGGAAGACGGAGAGTTAGAGCCCATTTATCCACTCTACTGTGATCAGACTGGAAATGTATTCATTCTTTAAATATGTGGGACAGCAGCCCTCAATTAAGGAAAACTAGAGCTGAATTTGGAGACAAAAAACAGAAAGTGTAAGGTATTTTCTCTCTGGTAGATGGAAAACTCTGACTGCTTCCTGTCAGAGCTCATCAGGATGCTGATCTGAAAGTATTTCAGGGTTTTTTAGTGGCAGCAAATAGTCCAGCTGCTGTCTTCCCGGGTCAGAGTGACTGTTTAAAAAGTCTGAAATGATCCCACAGCTCTGAGTTCCAGCTTTTAGTCGACTGGTTTTAACACATCAGCACAAAGTTTCCTTCATTTCTGGAATAGATGATGTGACAGAGCTCATTTCCAGGAAATGAAGCCTCATTTTATAGGAAAACCAGCAGGAATTGTGAATTATTTGGACTAGTTTGGATCATATATCCTCACAGAGTCAGAGTATGAAACCACCCAGGTCATTTTCAGGCCTAAACTGTAGCACCACAGTAGGCGGGGTGGTGGGGACTAAGCACCTGAGGATGAAGTTGAGGCAGACGATGGCTTCGGGCTGCGAGGTCTTGCTGCTGTAGAGGACGGTGGCCTGAGTCTCGGCCCACACGAAGCCGCCGCCGTTGGCCAGGAAGCGGTACTGGCTGGTGCTGACCTGACCCTTGGACAGCACTGGACAGGAGGCTGGCAGTTAGACCGATCGGCAGGGGCTCCGCCTCGCGACTCAGATAAGTCGGCAAAACTCACGTGTGTTCAGGCTCTTCTTGATGTGGTCCGAGTCGAGTGCGTGGTAGAACTCATACGCCGAGCGGCCAATCAGATCGTCAGGTTTGTAGCCCACTAGCTCCGTCACCCTGGAAACGGGAGGGGAGAAGCTTAACGCTGGAGGCTAAATGTTCAATTTATCCTGGTCATTCGTTACTCTAACAGTGACACCTTGGGGTAATTTATAGTTTCATTTTGAAGGGCGATATTTTCTTCTTTTTTTTTCTTGTGGTGTACTTCCCGTTTGACCAAAAACGGTGTGAGATCTTGCAGGAATTAGGGGACATTTTTAAAATGGCGCTTTGGAAATCAGAATGAGGTAAGATTATGAAAATGTGTGTTTTTGGGTAATGTATTGGCTGAAACAGTTCCAACATTTGTGTGTATTTCTGTTGTGCTAGTTTTCAGACGTGATTCAACGGGACTGCCTGCGTGTGGCCGCGTTACTCTGAGCGGCGCCGCCCTCACCTGCCCTCGCAGTGGGTGAAGCGCAGGTCCAGGCTGTGGCGGGTCAGGAAGGTGCTGGTGTCCAGGGGGAACTCCACGCTGGACGGGTGGGGGATGGGCTCGCACAGCAGCGTCATCACTCTGGACGCCGGGTCGCCGCCGAACGGGCGGATGTGGCCCGTGCAGTGCAGCACCTGCAGGGAGACAGAGATGGCTCCAGTACGGGTCCAAAGGGGGCTACGAAAACCTCTAGATTCCTTCCAAATAAAACACGACGCAGGAGGAGAAACAGGACTTTGAGGTCACTGTGCCGCTAACCAGAAAAGCAGCTCTAGCAGCAGCTTTAACTAAAGAAGAGCCCCGATTCACAGCGTGCCTGAATCTGTGTTAAAGTTGATGCTCGCTGCCAGAGGAGGGTTTGATCAGTTCAAAGGGACGGTTTGTGGGTCAGTTTGATGGTTTAAATGTGAACAGCTCAGGAACTGAACAGCTCCTGAATAACACACCCCCGACTCCAGTTTAAATACCTGAAATTTGTTGTACATTAGCAACAGGTTCTGGCAAGAAAACCCACAGAATTAAATTCCAGTGTGCCTCCAGAAGTGTAATGCCATGTTTATCTAATTCATGTTATTTATAACCATCATCTAAATGTCGTCGACAGCCTTCAAAAGCATCAAGCAATAGTTGTTTTAATCACTTAGTTTGAACAAGTTAATCGTTAAATGGCCCAGCAGCATAACCTGCTCCACTTCTCAGGCTTTGGTTTTAAGACCTCGGCGCCCCCTGGTGTTCATAAACGGTAACAACGGACATTTCTAGCCTTGTACACAAACACAGAGTGTATTCTCCAGTTAGTGGGCAGCAATGGGGCCTTTGTTCAGCTCCGGCCGTGCTGGTTTAAAGTTTAACAGATCTCACTCCGGTGTGGATCAATGTCAGCCTTTCACTTCCTGCTTTGTGACAATAGAAACTTTAGGTCTTCCTTCTGTTAAATTCTGACTCGGGTTTCAGCACAACCTCCAACCCTGAGAAAGGACAGGGAGTCCAGAGCCCTCTGTTTGAACATGAATGGACGCAGACCTGCTGGTCTGAGTGTTGACAGCGTGAGAGGAGCCTGGACTCCCTCCAGCTGTAGTTCGACCCCCTCGTATCGCTTTCAAACTGGACTTTGGTCGTACACAAGAGTATTCGTGGGTCTATTTTTTAACCAGGACCAGTTTTAGCTTTACACTTCTGGCTTGACCTCAGTTTATGACAAACTATCAAAGGCCTGAGAGGAAAACAGGAAGTCCAGGCCGTCCTGAACGGC